GAGGGAAGCTCGCCTCTCCGGAGCCGCCTGCACGCTCTGAGCAACCCCGCAGCGACAGCCAGACTTGCACACACAGGAAATTTCATTGAGATATTGCACACGGCAATGGAGAGAACTGCGAGCACCCCCAGGAGGTGAGATGCAGCAGGGAGCTGCGGGCGGCCGGGGGGAGCAGCACCCCCACGGGGCACCCCACGGAGGGGTGACACTTCAGTCCCCACCCGTTTGGGCAGCAGCACCCCCACGGGGCACCCCATGAATGGGTGACACTTCAGTCCCCACCCATTTGGGGTTGGTTTGTTTTTTTTTCCCTTACAGGGTTCCTTAGAGCAAGCTGGTCCCCCTGCCTGCATTTTCGGGGTGCACAGGAGGAGCTGAGGAGGGTGCTCGCTGTGCTGGAGGAGCTGTGGGTGCTCACAAGGTCCCCATCCCTTCACCGGTGGGAGCTGAGCCCCTGGGGCCAATCTCCAGCTTGCTTGATTAAAGCGCACATTGCTTGTAATTATTGTTTTTCCCATGTTTGTGAGGATTAAGCGGGCAGAAACCCTCCTGGGATGAACAGGAGGCAGGTACAGGGAAGGGTAACTCAAAACGGTGCCAGCTCAAGGAAGGGAACAGAGCTTTCCCCAAAAAAAGGGGAGCAAAGCATCTCCCTCCTGCAGGCTGTTTGCACAGCGGGGGCCTTAACTCTGCCCTCAAAGAGCAAAGCAGCCCCACGGGCTGACTCATGTATCTCATCCCGGAGCTTCACTTCGAATTCAAAAGGTGCCGACGAAATCTCCAGCCTCCTCATTTCAAATAGTGCAGGCAGGTGCCTGTTCCCTGGAAAGTGGAGCCCAGAGACACGTGGAGGTTTGCAAACCGCAGGAGCATTTGCTGCTAACCTGCTCTGAATTTGGAGCATGCAATGCAATAGAAAAGTAGCTAATTAGTGTGCGGCTTTGTGGTTTTTACAGCAAACACGTCTGTGATGCTCTCGTCAAAAATGTAACCCTTGTCTGGCAGGAAGAAATTTGTCACTGGGGAAGGCATAGGCACAAAGTCCAGAGACTCCAAGAAAATAGCTTATCTGTCCCAAGACCCCATCTCTGAGCTGAGCCCTTAGGCAGGGTGGCACACTCTCGTCACCTCCCTGTCTCCAGGCGTGCCCCCATGGTGACACAACCAGAAGACACTCTTTGGTGAGGACATCCAAGTGCCTGTGCAGGGTCAGATACAGCTGGAAGAGGGTCAGGACAGGCTGAGCCTGCCCGGCGGTGAAATTGGGGTTAGCAGGTAGATGATGGGACCTGAGGGAGGAGAGGGCGGGTGTCTGAGATGCTCATTTTTGTTCTTCTCCTGAGCCATGGCAGCATCATCTCCACGTACTTTCCACCCTACCATGTTGCCACCCTCAGTAATAACAACCAAGGTGACCCCAATGTGAAGGTGAGGACTCACACAGGCCTTCTCCAAAGGCAGCGAGGCATGATGGGGTTCAGCCTCTGGCTTTCCCTCTGCCGTGGGCTGCTCCCCACTGTTACAAGCAATGGTAAAAACCAGGTGAAAAGGAGAGGGATCCCACCGAGACATGCTTTGCTTGGGAGCAAGAGTGTGATTTAATCTCTGTACGTTTATCTTTGTACCCAGCCATTACCTGGAGCTGCATCTGCAGCCATGGCTCATTTCATTTTGAGCCCTGCATCCTGTTTGTGTCTCTTGGCAGGGCTCAGCCCATGGTGGTCATTGAACTTGGCAGGTCCAGTCTTCCCCAGCCAGCTCCAGGGGTTGTGGAGCCAGTCCCTCCACAGCGCTTAACGTGATGTCCCCATGTCCCGCAGGCCACCACCATGGTGTATGTCACCGTCCTGGACGAGAATGACAACGCTCCCGCTTTCCGGCAGCAGCTGTACGAGGTGACCCTCGATGAAGGTCCCGCCACGCTCAATGCCACCCTCGTCACCGTGCAGGCCCTGGACTGGGACGAGGGACCCAATGGCACAGTTGCATACGCCATCACGGAAGGCAACATCTTGGGTACCTTCCACATCGACAGCTCCACGGTCAGTAAGGATGCCGGCCCCATCCCGGCCATGCCCCCATCCCGCTCCCCTCACTCCTGGCTGCCCTCCCCTCACCTTGCAGGGGCAGATCCGCACGGTGAAGGAGCTGGACTATGAGATCAGTCATGGGCGCTACACCTTGATTGTCACTGCCACCGACCAGTGCCACATCATCTCACGCCGACTGACATCGACCGCCACGGTAGGGAGCTGCCAGCAGGGTTGCAACACTGCGGCCTCTTTGGGGTCGAGGAGTTCCCCCTCATGCAAGAAGTTTCACATCTCCTTCCCAGTGGTCACCAGTTGCTTTTCTCCTAGAGGTCACCGGGCGCTTTTCCCAGCTGTGGCCAGTTTGCCCAGTTGCTGTCACCCTGCTTCCTCCTGGGGATTGCAAAACAGGGACGTGGGCAAGGGACACGTAGGCTAATAAGCCCAGTTATTTGGTCCTGTGAAGACACAAGCAGAAGAAATTCCCTGAGGTGCTTTCAAGTTGCATTATATTGGCTTTAGAGGTCCCCTTGGTTCTTCTTGCCTGAAGGGACAGTAGATAGTAAAACATTGCTAGAGCATTAATTTCTGCTTCATCTTTATATTCTCAGATTATTTAGCTGCTTTTTAAATTCCTTTTTCATCCCTTGTATGGAGGTTATTTAAAGCCTCTAGTCATTTTTGTTGCTTCTCTCTATAGCTCTTCCATTTGTCCTGGACGGCGGTGACCTGAACTTAGTGCACTGCTCCAAGTGTGGGGAGGGCAGACTAGCAGCTTCCAAAGCAAATGTTTTGCAGGAATTGAATACACTGATTATTTTTGTGACCGAAACCAAAATTTGACAGGTTGTGCGGCAGACGTTGTCCGTGCTCAGAATGATTTTAGGATCTACAAGTGGACGGGGTTGGTTAGATCACCTGCCTTGGCTCCCTATCATGGACCATTGTGCCTCATCCAGATATCGAGCCAAGTGTTTTCTAGTCCCCCAAAAAGGACATAGATGTTTATGTGGGAAGAAAAAAGGTAAACTAAAGGGGAGACACCGGTGTGGGAGATTTCCATGGATAAAATCTGTCCCTGTGAGCCTGGCAGCACTGTGCTCCATGCTGGGGCAGATGGGAGGCCTTCAGATGTGTACATCTGATACTGCTGGAGACACCTTCCTGGCCCAGAAAAACTGCAGCGGAAACCTTGAGACCTGGGGTTTAACTGCTGGCAGGGAAGGCGGCAGCTGCCGGCATGCTGTAGGCAAAGGCAGAGCTTTCCCTGCTCTGCTTTCCCAAGCAGAGACATGAACTTGGAAACCCCTTCAGCAACAAGTATCGAAGCTAGAAGGGATAGGAAACACCCTCCCTACACCGCCCAGGGAGTTTGTGCCGGCACCATATGAAAACATAGCTTTTAGGAGGGAGTTTCGTGATAATTTAAATCCCAAGTGATGGGAAATCCATCACCCTGATAAGGTGTGCTAGTGTTTGTTTTCTCCACTGCTAGGAAACTGAGCAGAGACTCAGATACACTCTTCTGTAAAGATTAGATTTAGACAGGAACAAATGCCCATCTGATGGATTTTACTATCCTTTAATGCAGGAGGTTGGAAAACTCCTCATTTTCAGTATCTTTCTCGTAACCACCTGTACCACCAAAGCTTAACCTCTTATCAGCCACTGGAGACTCTCCTCCTCCAGCAAGGCTTCTCCTCTGCGGAAATTCCCCAAAGCCTAGCAAGGGGGTAACCCTCTTTTCAATATAGGATGATATAGAGCTATATAAATGTCTTCTATGTAGTGTGACTCAGTTAAAAAGCAAGACTAGAGTTTGTTGGATCCCCAGCTTCGCCGGCAGCCCTGTGGTCTACTCTGTCCTAATATTGTTGATGCTTTCCCCTTTTTGAGATCTGTAGGATTGATTTCTAGCCAGCTAAGTGTGTCATAGGAAGGGAGACTAAGAGGGGAAACATGCCAGTGGCGCTGGTGGTGTTTTGTGTTGGAACAAGGTCACAAGCTGCACATTTTTTAAAGTTTACTCAGCATTAGGAACGAAGCCCTTGGAGAACAAGCGCGCAGCTGGCGGCGGAGATCAGGCCTCTCCGAACTCATGGCTTTGATAGTCAAATCCATGTCTGTGGTTTTTGTCTATCCAGCTTGGGTTTCAGGATGTGAATGTGGAGAACATTTGACTTTTGCATTGAATTCTCCATCATGGTGCATGGCCTGGACGTTGAAAAGGGCCCCACCTGTTTGTGGCTGGAGTTTCATAGTGTCACTGTAGGATGGGCACGATCAGGAATAACTGAGTTGTGAGTCTCTGAACTGTGAGCTGGACATTTGGTGAACCCAGCAAAGCCAGAAATATGAGAGGTATTTTGCGATGTTGCCCGGCCATGGCTTCCCACGCTCATGGCCAGCGGGCTGGTCTCCCCTTCCATCCCTCTCCTCTCACTGCCCTCCACCCTCTCTCCCTGACCACAGGTGCTGGTGAACCTCAACGACATCAACGACAACCGTCCCACCTTCCCTCGGCCCTACGAGGGTCCCTTCGATGTCACGGAGGGGCAGCCTGGCCCACGCGTCTGGACCTTCCTGGCCCATGACGGCGACTCAGGACCCAGTGGGCAAGTGGAGTACAGCATCATCGCCGGGGACCCCCTCGGTGAGCAGGGACGTGGGGGCATCACCTCTCCTTCTGGCTGCCCCATGGAGGAACCCGGCTTGCAGGAGCCGGCGCAGGAGCGCAGGCGGAAGCGTTTCAGAAAAGCCATCCTCCCAGCCGGGTGCTTCTGCGAATTCAGCCTTTCGACACCAGGAAATCCTGTTTTGAGCAACAGGAAACTTAACCTGTTCGTGGCCAGCCCAGGGGGTGGCCGGGGCTTGTGCAAGGGAGGGGGGAAATCTGCTAAACAATAAAGGCAAAAAAACAGACCGCAGAAAGAGAAACCAAGAGCTGCAAGCACACAGCCCTGTCCCCTCAACCCCAAGGAGGTTTGCAGGGCATTTGGCGACAAAGTTGCTCTGCACCCCGTGGTATAGCTCTAGCCCCACCAGCACCCTGGAGCAGCTGGCAGAGGAGCCGCGGGCATCCCCAGCCATGGGGAAGTTCAGCTGTCCCTCTGCAAATGGGTGGTGCCTTCAGCGCAGGGTATCTGGAAGGCAGAGCCCAGTCCCGTCTCCAAGCTGACCCTGCTGCAAAGCTTCTTCAGAAAAACTGGGATGCAGCCCCTCGGCTCGGGGCTGTCCGTGCTGTATAGCCCACCCTGCTCTGGCCATCATGGGGCACAGGTGGGTGCTTGGAGGGCTGTTGGCACCTTCAGGAAGGCCCAGCCAAGGAGTGTGAGCACCTCTTATTTAGCCATTCGACCCACGTCCCCTGCTTCTGCTGGTACTTGAGGGTGCATCGGTCCCCAGGGTAAACCCCAGCTGCCCACAGCCCTCCCATAGCTGCAGTAATGGGGCACTGGGGTTGTCGTCCCCAAGCCCGCCATGGTGCCTGTCCCCCGGCTCTGAAACAAGCCATCCTCTTGGGGAGCTGGGCCGTTCACAACAGCATGGCACGAGCCAGGGCCCTGCTGTCTCTGGCAGGGGAGTTCGTGATCTCCCCGGTGGAAGGGGAGCTGCGAGTGCGGAAGGATGCTGAGCTGGACCGCGAGAACATCCCCTTCTACAACCTCACCATCGCCGCCCGGGACCGGGGGGTGCCCCCCCTCAGCTCCACGGTGAGTTCCCTGGGGTGGTGGGAGGGGCTGCGTGGTGCTGTCCCCCATCCCCAGCTCCTTCCTCGGGGTCTGCTCTGCCTTTCCTCTCTTCCCCTCCTCCTCCTTCCCCTTGCCCCCGGGGCTTTCCTCCCCCAGACTGTAGTGCGCTGAGTGGGGAGGCCCACCTCTTGCCCAGAGGGGCAAAAAAAGGATAGGAGGGATGGAAATAGGTGCCACATGCCTGCACTGCTCCTCTCCCCGGCAGATGCTGGTGGGCGTCCGTGTGCTGGACATCAATGACAACGACCCCATGCTCCTCAACCTCCCAATGAACCTCACCCTCAGTGAGAAGGCCCCTGTCTCCAGCTTCGTCACCCGTGTCCTCGCCCGGGACGCAGACAAGGGGCCGAACGCCCTCCTGACCTTCGACATAACATCGGGCAACACAGAGAACGCCTTCTACATCAACAGCACCGTACGCCCCCGGGGGGTGGGATGCTGGGATGTGGAGGGTGGGCACCCCTGGCCCCAGAGCCCTCCCTTCCCTAGGCACCCATGGGTGCTGCCTGGCATCCTTGCCCTGGCAGGAGATGCCCCATGGGAAGCACTCCTCAGGTCCCTTTTACCTATTTCTTCCCTTTTTTTCTCGGTAGAGCGGCATCATCTACATAAACCGCCCGCTGGACAGGGAGCAGGTGGCGGAGTACAGGCTGACCATCACGGTGAAGGACAACCCCGAGAACATACGCAATGCCAGGCGGGTAATTATGGACACTGCTGGAGCCTCCAGTGATGCAGGCAGCAGGGCAGGTGGGAGAGGTTTGCCATAGCCAAAAACAGGCGGTGCATTTCCACACAGCATTTCCAATAGCAGCCTCATCCCCCAAAAGCACCTGGGGTTCACAAGGAGGGGGCTGCAACACCCTCCCCATCAGA